CCCCAAAACCCCAAAACCCCAAAACCCCAAAACCCCAAAACCCCAAAACCCCAAAACCCCAGGCTTAATAAAATTTAGTAAATTAATAAAATATGCAAATGAAACCAAGCTCACAAGAAACACTTAAGATTTTGAATAACATGAAAATCAGAAAAATAGGCACCGTCAAGAATTATGAACACTATGCCTGAGGGTTAGGAGCTGATTTATAGTCCACAAAAGGTAGAGGATGAATTTTATAGTAATCTAGAGACGATGACTCGGTTATTAGACATCTTATCCAAGAATCGAGGCATAAGTTTAATGGGAGGATAAATTTTGATAAGCATCAGAAAATCCTCAGATCAAATTTCATAGTTTCTAGGCCAAAAAGTAATGTTCAAATTCTTTATTGTTCATTAATTTCTTATATTTTAAAGAGAAAACAATGAGTAAGGTTGAAGAGCACAAAGAGAATTTAGATAAATACAAAGACTTAAGAACTCTTCATAAAGGTACTCGGAAGAAATTTGTGAGCACATCAAATGACAGTGAGTTGAAGAAGAACCATACTTTTGATAGCAGGTAATCTCATCATAAATATTCATTAATGAAATAGAACTCAAGTGGAGGACATGAGCTCTAAAAGATAAATCAAGATTTTCTAATCGAAGGCAAATCTAGTAGCAATCAACTCGGGTTTGATAATCTTGAATTTTCAACACAATTCTCAAACTTCTTTCTGGCACCAAATTTATCCATAAAATGTCCAAGATATCCGAGTCCATTCATGAACTCTAAAGGGAAAGGTGCATTCAACAGTAGAAAGAGATCTACTTTAAAATCTTCCAATAAGCAGCTTAAAAAGAATTGAAACGAAGAAGATACTTACCTAATCCAAAGAGACCCAAAATAGCAAAAGCATCAGCTCTCATTTTAACAGTTTCTTGGACCAGAGCTTGTTCAAGATCAAGAGCACTACTCTGACCACTGCCAACAAGGATGTTAAGAAGAACAGCTTCTTCCGCTGTCATAGGAGAAATAAGAAGTCTAAAAACACTGACCTCAAGGATCAGCTTATCACTACTTCATCAAGGTCCAACTCCGTGAACAGTAAAGCTAGTAAGAGCTTTACAAAGATCTCTGAAGACCAGTCTGATCTTCAGATAAAGAAGCAACTTAACAAGTTAAAATAATAGGAATATTAAGCTGAACTCTCAATCTATCCAGGCTAATGACAAAAAGAGTAATAAATTTGAGGTGCTTTCCATTACCGGTTTGACTTCCTGCTTAAATCTAGACTACAACAACCTCATGATAAGCACCCCTTCTAGAGTGATTAGGCATAATAAGACGATGGATTTGAAATAAGAAGAGTTTTAAAGATTTATGAATCACTTCAAGAAGATTCCAGTGATTTAGAAAAGTCTCCAATCAGGATTATATATGTATGATTATGCCAATGACCCTTAGCACTGCCAAAGAGAGAGAGTTTTAGGGTTGAGAAGTCTTTAATGACTGAAGAAAGGGGTGGACTAAGAACTTCAGCTAATAAAAAGACACCTAGTTTGTACCAAAAGTCTCAAAATGTATGCAGTTCAGCTCTAATTTATAGCATTTTGGGCTGAATCTCTCTAAAGTGCCCTTATTACCTTTCAAATCTTCGATGAAATCAAAAGCAGGGAGATATCTGAATGTAAAACCTTGCAAGAATAAGCATGTTATTAAAATAGAAAAGATTCAGAACACTTCAGAACTTAATGCTGATATAGGAATTGAGAATGAGTCACAAGATATTTAAAGTACAAATTAGCAATTCTTTTCTCTGGTAAATAAATTTACTAATCAGAAAGAGCAGGTTGATCATAAGTTGTAGTTTCAATATTTTAATAATCTGAGGGGTTTTGGGGTTTTGGGGTTTTGGGGTTTTGGGG